ATAAATATTGAAATTTTTTTCAAGTGTTTATTTGAAAAAGCTGAATTTTCATACCATATATATATATATATGACTAATTATAGAATAAAAAACCCTAAAAATAAAATATAAAAATCTTGTTATATTATTTAATTTTTTTATGAAAATAGAGATTTACAAGTGAAGGAAAATAGAAACTTATTGGCAATACAAAAAAAAAAGTGAATGAAATAATTGAGAGTATATACTTACTCCTTTCAAAAAATGTAAGACATTTTTAATCAATTTTACCTCCCAATAAATAATTACCTACTTTTAAATTAATCCTATTTTTTTATATTTACTCTTATTAAATATTTTATAATAAATATAAAATTATTCATCAATAGAAAAACTTAAAAAAAAAGGTAATGATTACACTTCAAAAGACTAAAAACACCTTACATTTTTAAATATCTAACTTTTTTTAAATTATCATATATTTTTAATGGAGCAGCATCATAAATACTTTTTACTATCAACTAAATCAAATCAAATAAATATATAAAAAATAATAACGGAAAGATACTGAGAATCTAAAAATATGATTTGATTATCACATGCACAAAATTCTCTAATATTTATAATAAATTTAAATCAATTTTAATACCAATGAATCAAAAATATCAAATCATTGCGCGAGGATCTAAATGGCAATAGCTTCTTTCGTGACGACCACAGCAACTAGCACAGAACCACCCTTTCCTTTCGCTCCACTCTCTCACCAACCGGTCAAGTCAGTCCTCGACTAGCAGTCATCGGCGCCGATCGTAGACTTCCAGTAATCCTACTGTTCTTCTCTTTCTTTGTATTGATAATTTAGTTTCGTTTGCTTTCGGAAACATCATATCTCTCAGATTCTTATGCCATACTTTCTAGTACTTATTAGCACTCAGATGAATCTCTCTACCTTTCGTGATGGCTGGTATATGGGAAATATTTTCTATCTTTGAAGAATTTGAAAGTACTGGGAAAATAATCTTAATTCTCTAGACGATGGATGATCAGGTATCAGTTTTTTTGATCGGAAGTGAAACACATTCAAAACGAATTTGGTGTATCCATCAGGAATATTGCTTTTTAAGCCCTCAAAGATGGAGATGGGGAATTTCTTGTTTCACATCATAGTATTTCTTCACTTCACTTGAGGAATTTGCTGAATTATGAACACGAGCTGAAATCAGGCGCTCTTTTTTTTTGGGGGGGTGTTTGGTTTTCACAGTAGAGTATTTATGATCTTAAGTCCATAATTTTCATATTAAACCAGTAGTTTCTTTTGGCTTGTTTTCAAGTACCTTCTCAATTTCTACGTTTGCTTTCAAAGCTTGATTTCATTTGATACCTTCGCCAATTTGAATTGAATAGGTGCGGTTATTGGAGACCTCCGTAAGTTGCAGAAGTGCTATGGATACACATGATTGGAGGGCTCAATTACTTCCTCATATTCGCCACAGAAAAGTCAATGAAATGTAGGTCTAAATTCTCTATTTGATTAATAAGATGGTCTGAGTAGTATCTGCTTTGAGACGTCATTTGTGCAAACTGTTGATGCTGCCTTAACATCCCCCCGTTGTCACGGACGCTTAAATTTATTTCATCGCAAAACATATATCATTGAATCCCATGGTAAAGGAGCTATAACAGGCATTGCATGTCATTGGCAAACCCATCGAACCGCTGATTCTTCTATTTGCTGGTTCAGGAACCATATTACTTGATTTATTCAATTTCTCTTGACACGCTAGTGTTTTCCATTTATAGACAACGCTGGACATTTCTATTTCAAACTTTTAATGCTGTATGTGAGCTCCATTCAAGATTTCTAGAAGGCAGTGTTTATCTTATCTTTGCCCATAGCCTTGGTTGGGGGACTAGGAACTATTTTTGTGTTCTATATATTGTCGTTATGACCTTGAAAGCCGCTGATATTTGTTGTTACTTTCACTATGGCCCAAAATATTTGGAATAAAATTTGTGTTATATGCCTATCTTGGGTGCGAACTAGATTAGTTTTAATAGATTGGGAAAAGAAAAACAACAACAACAACAACAAGTCTTTATCCCACTAGGTGGGGTTGGCTACATGGATTGCAAGACGCCATTGTGCTCTATCATTTATCAAACTTTTAGGAATATTATTAATTAAGAGATCGCGTTCAACAACTTCTAAGAGTGTTCTCTTAGGCCTTCTTCTACCCCTCTTAATCAGACTCAAAGTTATATGTTCCACTCTTCTCACTGGTGCCTCCCTTGGTCTTTTTTGTACATGTCCAAACCATGTCAACCGATTTTTACCATTTTTTCTCAATAGGTGCTACCCTCACTTTTTCGCGTATGTGCTCATTTCGAATTTTATCTTTACGTGTATGTCCGCACATCCATCGTAACAATCCACTCCAGATGACATGTTTTCTTATCATTTATTTTCAATAAAACGAAAAACCAGCCAAAAAAAAATGAAGGGGCTGGACGCTTAGATAATGATCATATTTTTTTCAGTTGACCGTTGTATATAGTCCTCAACTTCTTGATTCCATATCATTGTAACACGACTCTTCATTGTGTAGAATGAGTATATTGAAATCGTATCAGTCTGACGGTGATGATGATGATGAATTACTTGAATTTCTAAAAAGTGCACAAGGTTTTGAGCAGAAGACTTATGCTGGCGCAACTAGCCAGGTACATACACAATAATGTGTAATCTCAATTACTATAATATTTGCGGTCATCTATGCAGATGGGTGAATCATGATGTAAGTATTGTTTTAACAGGCTTAACTTTAGCAGTGGCCCACTTTTTTTTTTTTTTAAAATGCTGTCATGATTGCTGATTTGCTGTGATGCTAATTTTCTTACATTTTGGCATTTCCTAATTTCAGGAAGATTATTTACAGAAAATATCTTCAATGTTGCAGTTAATAAGTGAAAGTAAGTCCCAGAACAATATCACTGTTATGCCATCGGATTCAGTTATTAACCCATTTTAGATTTTGGAAGTTTTTAATCCTAAAGCCTCTGAACTCATTGTATTGGTTGAATGTTCAGGGTCTACTCTGACTTTATTCTTAGCAATTCAGCCTTAGCTTTCCACTAACGAAAATTTCAATTTGCAACTTCTTTTTTGTTTGATATCATATATAGAATGTTGGCTAAGTTTTATGATATTTTCATTTAATTTTTATCTCAAACAAATACCTCTTGTATTTCATTTGAATATCATCCAAATTTTGTGCATTTGCATTGTAATTTTGTCTTGGATAGGAGTGCTTTTCTGTCATAGTAATTTATTACTCTTTTGATTTGATATTATTAATTGATGTTATTTTTATTGTCTTCTCTGCATGCAACCATGCTACTATTGTTTTTCCATCGACAATCATATGATTTAAGTACTCTGTTATTGATTCCTCAATCTAAATTTGTTAGTATGAATAATTGGAGAGGTACTCAAGTTGGATGATCCTTTACAGAGTATTGGACGGCTGGACTGCAACCTGATAGTCGCGGAAGAATCATCAACAGAATGTATAAATTTTTATGTTGTTTTACTTTGGTCATATATTGCATGATGGTGGAAAATCGTATTCCACACTTCGTTAGAGTTCTCTCATTTTTTATTCGGAATTATTGATAACCAACTTAAGATTGATGCTCAAGATTATGTTTTGTGGCTGAGGAACTATAAAACATAATTTTTCTTATGACTATTGAATTGTATTTTTTTGCATACTTTGTGTCTTGAACTTATTTTTAATTTAATTTTTTTTAAGAGGTCCCCACCGCAATTCGATATTTGGGAGGTTTCTTAATACACTTATTATTATGTGTTTTTTTCAGTTATATTCTGCTTCTTGTTTGGTGTAGTTAGACGACTTCTTCATTGGCCAAAAAAAAAAAAAGTTAAGAGGCTTCTTATTGTATGCTTTTTTTTTTTTTTTTAATTGTGGAGAGGGGAGCTTTTTAAGACGCAAAAGAGATTATCTCCTCCAATTAGGAAATTCATTTATGGTATCCATGTATAACTCTGAACTGAGCTTGATGAGTCCATGCTATTGTGTTGCTTTTTGGTCCTTTTTTGATATGAAAATGGACATGAAATGTTACAAGGAGGAGTAGTATTTGATACTGTCATCATTTATATTTCTAATCAAAATCCAAAATTCTGTGCATTCTTTTGGAAAATGTGAAGGGCATGAACGGTACCTTATGATCATGCTTGTTATTTGGAGGACTGTCTAATGCTATATGCTTCCCTATGAGTTATTGTAATTAAACTGGTGTTATTCACCTTATAGATTGGAAACATTAAGAAGACATCTTCCTGTTTCTGGCCAAGAGGGATTAGATGAACTTCGTAAAATTGCTGCAAGATTTGAGGAGAAGATTTACAATGCAGCAACGGCCAGGTAGAGCATCACAGTTTTAATTCTGACAGCCCTCTTGATAGATCATTCATCTGAGCAGATGAATTGTGATAGAAAGTTGAGCAGTAGGTTAACTGTCTTGTAGAATATCATGGATTGCCATGATTTCTTTCATCTCTAACATTCCCTCATTTCAGGCTGATTATCTTCGGAGAATATCATTGAAGATGCTGACAATGGAAAATAGAGGCCAAAACACCATAGCTAACTCTATGCGATCAAACCTTGGTGACAATGGTGATGGACCTTCAGATACAGGTATTGGAATTCAAAAGCTTCATGGTCTGATCTGTTTGCTACAAGTAGCCTATGCAAGGTCATGAGCTGATAGTACTTTCATACCTTTTTTTTTTTTGGGGTCAGAACAATTTGATGTTTTGATTTGTGAATAAAACTTAATGAGAACTAAGCTAATGATGTTAGGTTTTATGGTGCATGTGTAGAAGTATGCGCAGTGTGTAAAATAATGTATCTCATGGAGTGTGTGTGTGAAATAAGGGGTGGTTTCTCTCCACTGCTTTTTCTCCTCTATTTTTCTACTGCAAATTTGAACATTTCACATTAAATATATAATTTTAAAAATTATCAAATCTAAATCATCAAATCCAATTTAATGGTCCAAATCTATATTGGTTTCTCTTCTCCTTTCAGAGGAGGAAAGCCAATGCCCAACACCGTTAAATAATGTATCTCGTGAACTGTGTGCAAAATGTATGTAGTTGTCTTGAAAGATGTGACATGTCTTCGCTCAATTTGAATGTTTTCAATGAAGTCTATATATATATATATATATTAATATTTAAGGTAGGTGGTTTGGAAATGATGCACTCTCTTGTTCATAATATGGGACATTTGTTAGAATCACTGTCCAAAATATAGTGTATTAGATAGTTTTTATAATTTTTTTAACTATACCTCCACTTCATTTCTTATTTCTTTAGAAAATAGATCTATTGGAATTTCAATTGTCATTATTAAGGCATCTATTTAGGAAATTTAATGAGTGAATAATTGAAAAAATATGCAATTTTTAAAAGATAAAAGTTCCAACAAACTTTTATTTTTTTTTTAAGAACCATGAAGAAGTTATCAATGCTCTATGTTGTGGATCAAATGAAGCTTATTTTTTGAATGGTGAATGTTAAGAAAACATATTTTTTATTTTTTGAATGGTGAATAGGGTCTGTTACTGTTAGGCGGGCTCAAGTGCTTGGAGGGCAGGTGGCACCATCAGAGGGAGAGAGAAATGCTTCAGGAAGACAATCTATAAGAAAAAGGAAGCGGCCTCAGTGGCTAGCTGATTTTGTCACCAATCTATAGATAGCTGATTTTTTTTTTTCTTTGTTTTTTATCGATAGCCGTATTTTCATATACTCGTTGTCTCATTTCCTCGGGCCATTGCAAATGATGTGGACCAAATGTTAATGGCCAGGCCACTATTTCGATTGTAGTGTCCTCTGTATGTCCTCTGTAGTGTGTCGTTTTGCAATATTGGCTTATAGGGCCTTTGACGTAATGACTAATGAGAAGGAATGCTTGCATAGGATTTGGAGTGGCTTTGGACCTTATTCTTTGGTTGGATAAGAAAAAAATAGAGATGGATAAAAAAAATAGAGAACAAGTAAAATTAAAAGAAAAAAGTTTCTAAAAATAGTAAAAAAACTTTTTTTTTGTAATTTCTCTTCTTAATTTTCTCCTCCTTATTTTCTTTTTGCTTTTCGGATCATTTTCTCCTCAACTTCCAACTTTCAACCGCCTCTGTCAAGTTGGCCAAAAGAGGGATGACAAAGGTCATTATTAAGTGTTAAACCATGATATAATGGTTTATGACAAGATTTATGAAAAATAATCTAATAAATATAAATCACTATACTAGATCGGATTATTCTTTCCTCCCAACTCCGATTTGGGGGAAGAAAACTTTAAAGGAAATGAAAAAAATTGAAAAAGAAATTGTTACCGCTCATTACATTTAAATAGAAGAAAAAACAGAGAAAAAAGAGCAAATATGGTAATAATTATAATACCCCTTTATCAAAATGTATCAAGAAACTGAATTTCATACCAGAATTAAAAATTAATATATATTAATGTATACTCCTTCATTGTATCAAATACACACACACACAAACTCCTTCCTAATATATACAAATATATACTTCAAGATTCAGATACAAAATATATTAATTAATATACAATCCTTCCTCTTAAATTTAACATTCAAAATCAATTTCGAACTTTAAGAAGGTACTTAAAGATTACACTAATGCCCAACTAGTTTTGAATAAATCAAAACCAAAGGTTATACTTCAAAATCAAGATTAAAAATATTTTCCATATCCTCATCCGCATGAGTGGAATATTTTTCAATTGTGAGAAAATCAAAAATCAAAGCCTTGGAAAGAGAAGCATAGGGGGGTGGATGAACATATCCATCTACTGGGTATATTTCTGTGAAGAAGATAGAATCAGAAAAATAAGACAAAATTAAAAAAAAGAATTGAAAAAATGAAAAAAAAATCCAATCATTGGGGGAAAATGAGCGAGGACGATAATACCAAGGAAGAATAGTGCAAGGCAATGCCGATGAGGATGCTTGGGTTGAAGAAATGGAAAGATTTTCTTTTCCACTTTTCCTTCCTTGTCCAAGCAGGTTGTTTTCTATTCAATTTTTTTCTCATATTTTCTATCTTTCCATCCAAACTTGATTTGAATAGTTTAGGAGAGCATTGAAAAAAATTAAAAAAAATACTAAAAAATATTAAATCTAGATCATTTAAAATTTAATGCGGTGGTTGATTACTTAAGAATTGAGACAAGGGAAATATTTGAATTTCAGTTGTACATAATTGATTATAAACAAACTGATTAATATGATTGATTTTGAATATAATTAATTATGTTATGGGATATATAATTTATTTATAAAATTAATTAATAAGATTGATTTTAATCAGTATTGAAAAGTAGAACTAAAATGCAAAATTAAAAAACAAGTAAAATTATGGTTTTGTGAAAATATATCCAAACATCCTTGTTACATATTAAAATTAATTATGGATAAAAAACCATATTTTTCAAAAAATAATCAATTAGATTTCAGTTGTGTATAATTAATTATAAGCAAACTAATTAATATGATTGATTTTGAATATAATTAATTATGTTATGAGGTGTATAATTGATTATAAAATTAATTAATAAGATTAATTTTAATTAGAATTAAAAAGTAGAATTAAAATGAAAAATGAAAAGCAAGTAAAATCATAGTTTTGTGAAAATATATCCAAACATCCTTGTTACATATTAAAATCAATTATGGTTAAAAAACCATGTTTTCCAAAAAAAAAAAATCAAACACTCATTATACATGCCAAAATTAATTATGAACCAATTATCATGGTTTTTTTAAAAATATCCAAACACCCTCATACATGCCAAAATTAATTGTGAACTCAAAATCATGGTTATATGATAAGATACTATTACTTGTTTTTCAATTCATATTTTCAATTTTACTTTTCTAAAAATTTATTCAAAAATCATATAAATTATTTACAAACCTGTTTGGCAACCTGTTATGAAAATAGTTTTCTGTTCTCCAGAATAAAAAAATAAAACAATCTGTTTAGTAACATATTTTTTAAAAAAATATTTTGGAGAATAAAAAATAAAATATTATTCTGCAGAATAGAAAAAAATAGAAATATTTTTTAAATATTTTGGGATTATTATTCTGAAAAATAAAAGAGAATAAAAAAATACATATTTTTTATTATTTTTTTTTTTCAAAACATGTTTTACAAAATACTATTGCTTTGGGAGAGATCATATTTCTCTGATTTGTTATAGCATGCTTTTCCAGTACTTGTTATCACTTGGGTGAACCTCTTTACCTTCCATTACGGCTGGCATATGTGAAATATTTTCCAACTCGCGAAGAATTTGAAAGTACTGGGAAACTAATCTCAGTTCTCTAGACGATGGATGATCAAGTGCTAGTTTATTTTAACGGAAAAGAAACATATTCCAAACGATTTTGGTGTATGATGCATTAGGAATAGTACTAGTTATAGCCATGAAAGATGAGGACTGGGAATTTCACTTTCACGTCATGCTATCTCATCTCTTCACTTGAGGAATTTGCTGAATTATGAACACGAGCTGATATCAGGTGCCCAACCTTTTTTTTTTAAATGTGGGTTTTGGTTTTCGCAAGAGTATTTATGATCTTGAGTCCATTATTTTCTTAATAAGCCAGCAGTTTCTATTGACTTGTTTAAAAATGCCTGCTCAATTTATATGCTTGCTTTTAAAGCTTGATTTCATTTAATTGGTCAAATTTTGGTACCTTGTCTGATTTGGATTGAATAGGTTCAATCATTCAAAATATCCTCTCATGGTGCAGACCCTACTATGGATACACATGATTGGAGGGTTCAGCTGCTGCCTCGTATTCGCCAAATAAAAGTCAATGAAATGTAGGCCCAAATTCGGCATTTAATTAATAAGATGATCTGTTTGCTCCAAAAAATATCATAATAAGATGATCTGAGTAGTATCTGCTTCCACCTGTCAATTCTGCTAACTATCAATGTTATTATCAGTGTTTTAAAAATCAGATTGGACCAAATAGTCGGACTAATCTAACCATCGATCGATCTGGTTCATAGAAAAAAATCATTTTAGGAGTTGAGCCGGATTGATCCATTTCAAACCGGCGATCGGACCAGGAACCGGAATCAAGTTGGGAACCGGATCTGATTTTCAAAAATTGAACTGTTCAAAAAAACTTTTTTTTATTTTTTATCAAATTTTTTTAAAAAATGACTAATTTTTTTAATCATTTGATATTATGTTATATCATGTGGCTTATTAAGTCATGATAAACTTAAAATAATTTTTTTTAAGTTAAATAGAAATTTTATATGTATTTCTTATATTTAAATTATTATATATATATATATATATAATTTTTTTAATTTAATTATTACGTCACCGGTTGGACAATTGATCCAACTCGGTTGAACCATGCGAATCATAAATCGTTGACTTTTTCGATTCAATGTCCGGTCCAATTTTAAAAACATTGATTATTATAACATTCCTGTTGTTTGTTATGGAGGATTAAATTTATTTCATCGGTAAACAATGACAGTTATCAATTTAATCACGAAACATATATCATTATCTATAGGAAAGGAGCTATCTTGGGAATTAACTAGAAATTTGGAACATTTCTCGTTTATTCTTTTTAGTGGATTTGGGAGAAGGAAGAAGCTTATAATTGTCAGGTGCCAGGATGATGACTCAAGTCTTTCACAGCCTACTCCTGATGATTGTCTGTTTTCCTGCATTTCTTTTCCCAGAAAAAAAAAATGAAGGGGCTGGACTTTTACATAATGATCATGCTTTTTCAGTTAAGCATTGTTTTTCCTCAACATCTTAATGCCATATTTTTGTAAAACCATCCTTCATTTGTAGAATGATTAAATTAAAGATGCCTACGTCTCATGCTGATGATGATGAATTGATTTGTCACACCCAAATTTTTAAAGTGTGACCAGCTGAAAAATAAAAAACTCATATTTTATAAGTTTAAATTCTTAACACATCTAACATATTAATTTCAATTTTATCGTACAATCATCACTTATATTAAGCAATTATTAATAGAAACAAAATACTTAAACTAGCTGTAAAAATTTTAGTAGAGTCTCCGTTGTAAGTTGGATTTCTTGAAATCTCTACAACCTACCAAAAATACATCTAAGCAGCATTTGGAGTTTTACTCCGATACAGTATATACCAACCAAAATAATTTAATTAAGAATCCTGCCTATATGATTCATGGATTGATTTTAAAACAAAAAGATAAAATGTTTAAATATTTACATTATTCCACAATATAGTTGAAGCAACAAAATATTTCTCTTCTCAAGGAGTTCCACAAGATCTATTAAAGAATAGGTCCACTTCTACTATCTAAATATCAAAAAAAAAATTTCAGTAAATAACGTCTCCAATTAATAAATAAATAAATAATAATCATAAACACAAAATAAAAAATAAATAACTAATCTAATAATTGATCGTGTTATTAACGAACAGTACAATTTGTCCCCAGCTTAGGGTTCTAACTTCATCACTGTCCCTCATTATCTCTTATGCTCCCCCTCCTTGTGAGTTTTGTAATTCTCTTTTTCCACTATGTCTTTTCCTTTTATTATCTCTTTTTTGCTTCCCTCTCGTTGCTGTCAAGGATTATTGGATATAATTTTAAATAGTTTATGACAGTTTTGTATTTATCTAAGAAAAAAATAAAGTAAAATCAATGAAGCTAAAGGAAATGTTTTAATTTGTTTCATCAGAACATCGATTCAACTTAGTTAATTGATATAAAACTGAATGGCAATTGATTCATATAGACTAAGAATCAATCTGACAATGCCTTTGACTCTATGTGGGCATATTTGGACAGAGCCTTGTGTAATTTTTTTATATATAGATACTTTTTCTAGTTTGTATTTAAATATATTGCCTTTA